TCTTTGGAGGTATGAGAAAGGCCCTAGAGTCCACTAGCAAAGATGACTGTTCTCTGCCTTGGGGCATCTTCCATGCTTTCTCTCTGCAGATCTATTCGTCTGGCTTTCTACTTTGAAGCATGCAGTGCCTGCTCCCAAGCAGCTGAGCATGGTTGAGTTAGAAAACTCTCTCTGACTCCTCTAATAGTCTGACTCTCGGGGCCAGATGCCCCCCAAACACACTTCAGGAGAAGCCAGTTCTCCCAGAAGAGCAGCAGCACCAATACTACCAAAGCTTCAGAAGATGAAGCCGCCCGGTACCAAGGAGGAAGGAAGAATGAAGGAAAAATAGAGTATCTTCTAGCCACCCCACCACTCCAATCCACCTATCCCCCCTCCCACTTGGGCTCCCAACTCCTGCAGCAGTCTTCCAGTGACCAAAATAGGAGAGGATGGAATTGAGGTGCCATTCACTGGACTGCCACTTGGCTCACTCAGGACATTCCTATTAGCTTTGCTGGGTCCTAAACGCTAAGCTAGCCAGAAGACAGAATCAGGGAAGGAGAGAGCAGCCATACTCCTGGAAGGCACAGCCCGATTTGACAAGTGCATGGCCCGCAGCAGTGGCTTTTGTGAGGTTTTGTGTCCCCTTGTTTCTTTGCTGGCTTGCTTTCTTTCCTACCAACCCATAAGGCTCTGGAAAGCTGCTGGGTGGAAATAAAATACTTCCGTGCACTAAGCTTTTGGAGACCATCTTTCTGTAAACACGAGCTTATATTCATTTGCTAGGGTGTGATGACCCACGGTTTCCCCAAAGCAAAGCACACCTATTATAAAGTGTCATGCTGTACAGATGTTGGAAACATCTTTGACACTGGTGGCCTGACTCTGCCGGGACTGGCTTCTGAGTTTCGATCCCACCATACCTCAAGTGGCCTCTCCCAGGGGCTGACACTCTAGGGAGGCTCCCACATAAAAGGCAAACAAAAGAGCTGGTCCTAGGGCTGATGCTCTGTCTAGTGGTAATTCCACAGTGCATTATTAATTCCACAGGCTCTGGGAAAGCACAGGGCACTGCAACATTTGAACAGGGACCCAACAAATGTAGGGTTCGGGAACACACTGAGATCCTCAGGAAGGAAACACGGGCTGGAGAGAGTTCCCAGTAGAGGCAGCTAGATGGGCAGAGCTGGCGATGCGTGGGGTCGTAGAGCCCAGGGACGTGAACAGAGCCACAGCTAATACCAAGGGAAGTAGAGGGAGCTGGGCTGCCAGTGGGCAGGAGGCCACCATGCAGGAGTTTGAGAATGGCCTTGGTAAGATCCTAGCTCCCATTGGAAGCTTGTAGATGTGTAAGGAAGAAATTGACAGAAGACATTTACCAGCTCAAATAACCAGTGTAAGGGAGGTCGGCCCCCTCGGATACCCCCAGACACCAGATTCTCAGCACAAAAGAGATGGAGGAGGATACGAAGGCAGACAGAACCACCAGCAGCAGTAAACAGATGTTTTTGTTTGTTATTTGCAGAAGTGGGTTTTTAAGGAGGAAAGGGGGAAGCTTGGGTTAGGGAGGATGATTTGGTAAATCCTGGGCATATTAGCCAAATAATGAATTTTGTTTATTTACTTTTTTTTAAGATTTATTTTTGTAGCTGGGTTAATCCCAGCACTCAGGAAGCAGAGACAGGTAGATCTCTGTGAGTTTGAGTCCAGCTTGATCTACAAGAGCTAGTTCCAGGTCAGGCTCCAAAGCAACACAGAGAAACCCTGTCCCGAAAACAACAACAAGATTTTTGTCTAATGTTTATTGGTGTCTTGCTGCACGTGTCTACGTGAGGGTATCAGATGTCCTGGAACTGGAGTTACAAACAGTTGTGAGCTGCCATGTGCATGCTGGGAACTGAACTCAGGTCCTTTGGAAGAGCAGCCAGTGCTCTTAACCACTGAGCCATCTCTCCAGTCCCAAATAATAAATTTTGAATTTTGATTGTCGGCCTTCTGATATTTTTATCTCAAGAATGAATCAGTGGCCAAATAAAGAAATGAACCTTGGGGACTGGCTTTAGGAATGTCATCTAACGGTTTAGCAATGGGGGAAAGGGTAAAAGGCAAAACCTGTCAGCACCACATTTGCCATGCTCTGGCCTGCTAGTGTCCTTCAACCAAAACAGAGTCCTATTTGGGAGAGAGACTGAAGTGACGGCATCTAAGCATACAAGGTCTCTAAGACAGTTAATCTTCATTGTCACCGTGACAGGATTTGGAATCACCTGGGCCACAAACTCCTGGGTGTGTCTGAAGGGTTTTTCAAGAGACGTTTAACTGAGGAGGGCAACTCACGGTAAATGCATTCTGCATCACCACAAGGGCAGAGATGCTAGACAACACAGAGGAGCCGAGTGAGCACACACATCCATCTCTCCTCCCTGACTGTAGACCCCACGTGAGCAGCTGCCTCATATGCCAGCTCCCAGGCCTTCACTGCTATTATGGACTGTATTCTCCAACTCGGAGCCCGAATGATCATTTCCCCATATTTGGTCAGCACAAGAGAGGAGCAGCTAATTCGACATCTGCCGGAGATCAGACAGTAACACCTGTCGCAGGCATGCACTCACCGCGGGTGATTCACTCGTTGGCAAGAGGGTGGAGGTGTGTGAACAGACAGAGGCAGAGAGTTATGACCCAACTCATTACCTTTCCCATCTGCGCTGGAAGCGATCCAGTAACTCGGGTGATGAAAGCCAGGTAGGTACCCTGGCCTGACGCCTCTCACGCCCTTAGTGACAGCTCAGGCTTTGGAGTTCGATCAGCCTGGTTCTCACGTCAGCGCTGTACTGCCAGGAAGTCCAGGTGCCAGTTAGCTGTGTGTGAGACGTGCCGGAAACCAGCGGGCCACGGGGTGGAGGTGGAGGGCTGGCAGGGAGACCAAAGACCTGAACGCAGGCTAAGTGAGGCTGGAGGGCTAGGGCCCAGGGCTGGGGGAGAGCAGGAAGCAATCCCAGGCAATGTAGGCATACAGGGCAAAAGGGGTTGGCTGCAGAAAGAGAAGCAGGCAGGTGCTGGGGCTTCCTCGGCCCTGTGTCAGACCTATGGCACATTAGCGTTTATGCAAACCCAAAGTATCAGCAATTCTTTTTTTTTTCTTTTAATATTTATGTATTTATTTATTTATTTTTGGTTTGCCAAGATGGGGTTTCTCTGTGTAGCTTTGGAGCCTGTCCTGGAACTCTGTAGACCAAGTTGGCCTCAAACTCACAGAGATTCTGCCTGCCTCTGCCTCCCGAGTGCTGGGATTAAAGGCCTGCACCACCAACGCCCAGCAATCTTAAAAGTGAATCTTTTAGTAAGACACCGGTATTTTTCCCTGGGATAAAGGTATAAACTAGGAAGTCTCTCTATTGATGAAATGCTGAGTCTATCACAGAAAACAGCCTTGGAAATAATGAAAGGAGGCCAAACATCATTTGTGGGTCAGGGAGATTTCTAGGAAACCAAACCTGTGAATTGGCCACCTGATGAGGATGGAGAAGGGTCCATCGGAAGGCTAAGGGGAGGAACTGTGGACAAGGGAGCTCCGGTGGCTACACTAGCAGGGGCATGGCAAGCCATGTCAGTTCATGTCCCCGAGGGTGATCCATTGCTAGACCACCAACTCCAGCTCATGTCCCCTCAGAATCATACAAGGAGTGACATGTAATATGCGCTCAGTAACCAATGGCTGAATGGGTGCTCCATTGTTAACTGTTTCTGAAACTTTGATGCCTGTTAATTGTACAGTCTTGTTTCCTATGTGAGAAAGTAAACTCGCATTTGCTGGTCAAGCTGACCAATTCACTGAGAGTCATTAGACTCAGTGCCGGCAGCCCCGTCTGTCTGGGGAGGGCAGAGGGAAGGTGAAGCCAGCCAGGATGAGAGGGAATCCCGGGAACCGCCCCCGGGGGCTGGGAACATCTCTCCACTGAAACTGAATAAAAGATAACACGGAGTGAGAACTACCTTATCCCCTACAAGTGAGCAACTCCATCCTGGATAGTTCCCTGAGTAAGAAAATGGCCCTTTGTAAATGCAGACAATTCTGGGGGTCGTGGTACATGTGGCTAAAGGATACGTCAGAGAGCTGAGCTGCTCACTCCAGTAATCTGGACTTGCTAAGCCCAGGGTTCTTCTCCTGAAGGGCAAGGTCACGTGTGTTACAGCACTGTCCATTCGCAGTGTGTCAGGAAGCACTCCTGTGTGCCCACATGCACAGCCAGCCTCCTGGGGACCTAGAGGCAAAAGGAGCGGACACAAATATGCCCGGGCTCATTCTGCCTGCTGGGCCCTGAGTGACAGAATCCCGTCTCTGACTCAGAGTGTCCTGTCTTCTGCCAGCATCCAGGAAGCTAGCAAGGAGGTAAAACCTGGCCCTCTGCAGCTCTTGACACAGCTGGTTTACTCCTACACTTCAGTATTCTTGGCCATGTCTAATGGATGCACCTGAGCTATAGACTCCTGCAGTATCGCAACAGACCTTTGCAATGGCCTTTTGACAGTACAGTAAGAGCCTTTGCCAGGACTTGACTAGGAAATTCCACACAGACCCACCATTGAGGGCTTGGTCACCAGCTGGAGGGCCTGCAGGGAGTAGTAGAAACTTTGGGTGGTGGGTCCTAGCTGGAGGAAGTAGGTCCCTGTGGGCATGACCTTGAGGCCCTTCTCTGTCTCCCTCTGCTTCCTGGCCACTGTGAGCCTTGTCCTCACTGTGATGGACAGAAACCTCGGGAACCATCAGCCACAATCAACCCTCTAACTTAAAGCTCTACGTCAGCAGTGAAAAAAGCTAGCACAGTCCCTTTATCGCTTTCCCAAGAAGCACCTGCTAAGTTGTCACAGACCTACAAGACAGTACTTGAGGGCTTCAGAAACACAAAAATAAACATGAACTGGAAACGGTTGAAATAACCCAGGAGAGAAGTTTTTACAAGCTATATAAAGAATCATCTGTATTTCAGTTTTCAGTGATTACATAGACCTCGTCTAAAGTAAACGAGGACAACACAGTACAAGATGTTTGGGTCGTGACATGCTTCTCTAAGCCATGATCTGTATCTCCATGTGGAACTGATTTTCCGAGGGACAGAAACGGTCTTTGAGCTTCCCGAACCACTTCTCTTCGAATTCTTTGGAGGTAGTAATGGCCAAGGCAGTCAGGGCAGTGGGGCCAACACACTTCACCTCTGAGTGAACTTCATCTTTTATTTTTTCTGGGGTAATATCTTCCCCCATAGCCTGTAGCAGGAGAGGAGAGAGGGAAAAGACTAGCCCAGTTAAAGAGGCAGCAGACACAGAATGAAGATTATTTGCTGGCTGTTAAGCCTTGCACACAAAACACTTGGGGGAGGCACTCCACTGTCCTGAGGAGGCCTGTTCCACAGCTATCCCCACAGACGCCAGCTGCCCTGCTTCTATGCTCGCCCTCCCCAGTAACAGAATCCCTAAGTCCCAGGGTGGCAGCTGCTCCTCCTGGGTCCTGGGAGCACCAAGTCAACCTTTGTGTGCCAGGCTGATCTACTGACGGTGCACCTTGGGCTCCTCCCTCCTGGCTAGAGGCTGAGGCTGGAAAGGTAGGGGCAGAGCCCAGGGGGCAGAGCTCAGGGTGTGATGTGGGCATGGACCTATCTCTGCCATGTTCCTCCGGAGAAGTCAAAGGCAGCAAAGAATCAAGCAACACTTTGCTAAGTCCATCTCTCACCGCCCTGGAGACCACAAGCAGCCACAGCCCAGGTTCTCCAGGACCTTAGCACATCCCCAAGAAAGGCACAATACTGCCCCCTCCTGGTCACTATCAAGCTGCAGGGCACAGACTCAGACTCTGGGTGCTGGCCCAGTTTCTCTTTGATGAGGCAACTCAACATTAGATTCCAGGAGGTCTTTGTGGGACCTGAGTGACCCTTTGGTAATGACAGTGAGCAAAAGGAAGGCCTCCAAGTGCCGTGCTAACCAGCATGAGACACCACCCAGCAGAGACACTGACCTAGGGTCCTCCAACCTGGAGATCTCAGGTGGCCACGAAAACCACAAGTGCAACCAAAGAGTGGCTCTTCATAAACTACATGCTTTGTGTGTGTGCACACGTGTGAGGGAGTATGCATCCTTGTCAGTGTACATCAAACCCAAATAAAGCATTCTGCTGTCACTCTTGCCTCTGCCCTTGAGGTGGCCTCTCACTGAACCCTAACCTGTCTGTTCTGGCTAGTCTGGCTGGCCCAGCTCACAGACCCACCTTCTCTGTTCCCCCATGCCTGGCTTGTGTGGGGATTCAAACTTAGGTTCTGTTTGTGTTTACAACATGAGCTCTTCTCCATCAAGCCAACCCCGCCAAGCCCCAAATAATACATCTTTCGAGGCAACTGCCAATGAGATGCTCTACTTCTTTACTAAATATTACTAATTCATCCATCCTGAGGGTTTTTTTTAAAAATCACTTCAATGTCTCTGAAATCATGAACCGATACAGCATCACACTGTAAACAGCATGTCCTTTCTCCTTCAGTGACTCATCACAGTGATGTATGTGTCTCACAAGTGACGACTTTTTGGATTTGGCAAAAATCAGTTTTTATTTGTTTAGAGGCAGGGTCTCTGTATGTCGTTCTGGCTGGCCTTGAACTCATTATGTAGATCAGGCTGGGCTTGAACTCACAGAGATGAGATCCACATGTCTCTGCTGCTCACATACTGGGGTTATAGGAATGTAAAACCAGGTCTAGTCTTAAAGTCAATATTTTAGTTGGACAGTGGTGGTACATATCTTTAGTCCCAGCATTTAGGCAGAGGCAGGCAGATTTCTGTGAGTTCGAGGCCAGCCTGGTCTACAGAGTGAGTCCCAGGACAGCCAGGATTACACAGAGAAACCCTATCTTAAAAAAACCAAAAACCAAAACAAAACAACAAAAAACCCAAATCAGTATTTTAAACTACGGGGAAAAAAAACACCAGAAGTTATTATCTTAAGAAGAAGCTACAGCTAAGGTGTCCAATCTGAGGTCAGCCAAGGCAAAATAGTGAGAAGAGGTGGCCGAGGGGATGTCAGTCAGTAAATGCTTGTCCTGTGAGCATGAGGACCTGCAGATGTGGGTACGCACATGTACATGTGGAGAAGAGAAGGCAACCTTGAGTGTCATTCACCGGGCACCCCTGCCTGTTTTTATAGACAAAGTCTCCCAGTTGGCATAGAACCCACGTCAGGCAGGGCACGCTGGTTGGCAAGCTCCAAGGCACCACTACCTGCCTCCGCCTCCCAGTACTACACTACCGCACCCACCTGATTGTCTTAATGTGTACTCTGGGGACAAAACAGGAAAAACGCAAAGAAAGGGAGGGTGGAAGGAGGAAAAGAAAGGGATGCTGACACACACCTATAGATCTGGCTACTCCAGGAACATGCCCTGAACCCAACAGTTTAAGAGCAGCCTGGACAGCGCAGGTTGTTGGCTGACTTCACACAGCAACAAGAAAAGTAAGGAGCACCCGGCAATGATAACAAATACACAGGAGTGTTTGCTATAGGAACGATGTGAGGATGTGCACGCGCTCACACACACACACACACACACACACAGAGAGAGAGAGAGAGAGAGAGAGAGAGAGAGAGAGAGAGAGAGAGAGAGAGTCATTCTCATGGAACAGCATTGAGGCTGGGCCCAGTGACCAAGCAGACATGGTGTGTTAACAGGCGCCACAGTCAGCCTTTGGTCTGGGCTTCTCTGGGGCCTGACACTGTGTGTACACAAAGTCTAGTGTGTACAGAAAGGAAGCTTGAACACACAATCTCTGAGGCATCCTTCAACAGTGTGGTATTTCCATGTCTCTGTGAACATGAAGGAAGTGACAGGGCAGACAGAGCAGAGAGACACTTCTCACGTCTGGTCCACACAATCTGCCACTGATCTTCTAACCTCAGGGAGCCACAACATCTGTAAGCCTCTGGGCAGCTCTGCCTGTCTTCACCTGCTGTGAGGGTGAGTGGGAGGACAGTACACAAAACTCGTGCACAGACAGGGACACTTGTCCATTAAAGTTCAGCTCCATGGGTGACTCAGCAGCATAGAGACTGTGCGGCACGTACAAGGTGCTGGGTTCGAGCTCCAAAACACTAATTAGTCAGGTAATCAACAACTAAGATGGGCATGTTACTTAGGATGCTCAAATGGGCAGGCACTAGCAAATGCTGGCGAGCCCAAGAGCGACACAGGAAAATGATGGTGAAGGACCACTTTGATGACTTGGGTGACGCAAAGGCCTACAACAGGGAAGACAGAAGTCCTTCAGGATAAGATGACATCTAGCCCTGCTTTGGTATGGGAACAGCGCAAGTCAGCACGATGTTTATTCTGCATAACCCTGAGGGAATACGCACCTCCTCCATCAACAGCATAGCTCCTTCAGGGAGGCTGAGCTCCTTCACCTTCTCCGCAATCTCCTGCTGAGTCCTCAAGTTCCTCTCCAAAGCAAATGATGTTTGCTGAGACTGGGTGAGCTGAAGCAGGAGCCTGAAAAACCACAAAGTCTCTGTGTGAGAGGCTCCGCCACAGGGAAGCAGGGAGCACAAACTCCTACAGGGCCAGGCACTCGGCAGCTGGAAGTCCTGCTTCTAATACTACCGCACCATTCTAGGTCAGATCCCACCACTGAGACCACTGCCTCTCCACTGATGTCCAAAGTTCCAAAGGGCCTCTTCTGGCCACCCTCTACCCCCACCTGAATCACAGCTCTGACCAAACTCCAATGCAAAGCCTGTGAATACTCTCTGGGCCTTCAAGACAAGGACCACACCTTATGACACCTAAGCCTGGAGTAACAACACACGGCTACAGCCTAGACTGGAAAGGCCGAAGACAGAGGCACCCAAGTTCCAGGTCAACCTTGGCTACATGGTGAGCACTGCCTCAAAATCAAGCGATGAGCAAAAAGATAAAGTCTTAGGCTAATAAAAAACCAAACCAATTAAAGTACTTAATAGCTAGCGTTTACCAATGGCATTTACCAATAGCTAGCTAGCATTTACTGATGAGTAGCATTCACCAATAGCATTTATCAATAGTTCGCATTTACCAATAGCTTTTCCCAATAGCTAGCATTTACCAGTGGCTAGCTACAGACCTTGCACTGCAGGAGGTATACTAGCTAACTTTAATTCCACACTGTCAAGCAGTAGGCCTTTTCCCTGTTCCTCTGTCAAGATGAGGAATCTGGAGCCCAGAGTTTATGTAACTTTGCAAGGCCAGCCAGCAGCACAGTCTAGGCTGACGTGGTCAACATCAGGCATTTATTAAAGTCCTCAGGATCAGATCTGACTTAAGTCTGGCCTCCTTTGTCCCTGCTCTGGTACTGTGGTTTACAGGCCTCCTTGAACTTCTCCTACATCGCTGCTCTAGATACTGTGGTAGTCTGACTGAAGACTATAGGTTCACAGGGAATGGCATTATTTGAGAGGATTAGGACATGGGGCCTTGTTGGAGGAGATGTGGCTTTATTAGAAGTGTGCTACTGGGGGTGGGCTCTGAGGTTTCAGAAATCCAGGCCAGACCCAGTCTCTCTTCCTGCCGCCTGCCTGAGATGTAGAGCTCTCAGCTCCCTCTCCGGCACCTCATCTGCCTGTGTGCCTCCATGCGTCCAGTCATGATGATAATGGACTAAACTTCTGAACCTGTAAGGCAACCCCGAATAAGTTTTCCTTTGTAAGAGTTGTGGTGGCCATGGTGTCTTTTCACATACAATAGAAGCCCTAAGGACATCGGCAGACCATGTGGCTGCTCCTCTATGCCCCCTAGCTAAGCTTTCTATCTCACCAAACACAAGAGCACACCCTCCTCACCTGAGGGACAGTGCATGTGTGAGCAAGATAACACAAAGAACTATGGGCTGCCCAGACGCAGGACTCTGGGGCCATAAGAAACCCTTGAGGAAAATTATGAAAGAAAGCAGACAACGCCCTTAGTACTTGGTGGCCAGCTGCTGAGCACCTGCCCCCTGGACAAGGCTGGTCCTTCCCTCAGTTGATCTCCACGGGATTCTGCTCACACCAGGATGCAGCCCTCAGCAGCTGTGTGCTAGCCACTGGCTACATGCATATTGTCCTCAGCACAGAGGCTGTTGCAAGGAAGGAGACTGTTGGTTGTGCTTTGTTGTTTTGCTTTGGGGTTTTTTTGTTTGTTTGTTTGTTTTTTAACCATCTTTATGATCCTTGCACCAAGCAGGTGCCTAGCATATGTGCTTCTGAGTAAAAGTGACGTAGCCACTAGGTGTGGTGGCACACATCTTTGATTCTAGCCCTTGGAAGCAGAGGCAAGTGAATCTTTATGAATTTGAGGCTAGCCTGGTCTACACAGTGAGTTCCAGGCCACCCAAGGCTACACAGTGAGATCCTCTACACAAAACAAAGAAAGAGAAGGTGACGCAGTCGATGATAATTAGGCGTCTGCTCACATGTTTTCATTCTTAATGAATCTCAACGGATTCTCCAAATTGAGAAAAAGAACCTCTGTCTGCTTCCTCACTTACAAATCACAAAACTGGACAAGGCCTCCTCCTTCCCTCTCCCTCTAATTCATGCATTCTACGGGTCCAAAGTGCTTGCAGTCCCCCAGAAGCCAGCACAGGAAGGCTCTGCGGCAGGAAGTAAGCTCAAGCACTATGTACTGTGCACCAAGCACTGAGTCCAGGAGCAGGCTTTCTTCAGATTTCTGCCAGACACAAGCAAGAAAGCCCTGCTTCAGAAATGGCTCTTTTCCTCTCAAATGTGTAAACATTTCATTGTTCTCACAGATTTTGCTTCCAATTTCCACATTCTATCTTTAGTAACAACAAGAGCTGTATTTTTTAAGGTAATGACCATTGGGCAAGTTCTGCCTCCTGCTTGCACCATCTTCTCAAACTCCTGGGGTGGGCATTCTCTGTTTTTACTGAGCTGACTCCACGGCATCACACAGATCTGTGGGTTTCCAATCTACAAGTGCAAGGGCATGCTTTTTAGGAAACTGCCTGTGTCCTTCAGCAGTCCAACCCATCCTCCTTCATGCCTGCAACTACAAGACTTTGTCTTGTTCTGTTGAGTCAGTGTCTCACTACATAATCCAGGCTTTGAACTCATGATCCTCCTGGGCCAGGCTCCCAAGTACTGGGATTCCAGGCCTATGCCAATAGTCTTATGAGACGTTTTAACACTTGTTAGTGTCCTGTTGTGGTTTAGCATTCATTTCCTGATGGCTGGGCTTCCTTGTAACAACAGAACATTAGAAACAGTCATGTCCACTTCTTAATCACTGTAAAGACAGCAATGATAAACATGGATGCACAAGTATCTTTGGGACATGTTAGCTCAGAGTGCTCCAGTGTATGCCACAGCTGGGTCATATGGTAGTTTTATTTTTGGCTTTTGTTTCGGAGTGAGGTTTTTGTTTGTTTGAGACAGGGTCTCTATATAGCCTGGATGTCCTGAAACTCTCTATGTAGACCAGGCTGGCCTTAAACTCAAAGAGATCTACCTGCTTCTGCCCCCCAGGTGCTGGGACTAAACCCCACACCGACTCCTAAGTGTCTGCACTGGTCTAAATTCTCACCAGCCTTGTCTGGGGTTCCTCATTCCCTACATACCATGGATGCTAACTTTAAAAATGAACTTAAAGAAGCAAATCTCTCCTCCCTTAAAACAAAACAAAATAAAAAACCAGCCTTGCTCCAAGCGCATGCTCTGTGCTGATGAGCCCTGCCTCAGCTCACCTGGCTCGGATCAGACAGGCACAGGCTTTCAGCCGAGCCTCCATCCACGATGCTTCTCTCTGCATATTCTTCCGAGCTGTCTCAGCCTTCTGGATATGACAACCATGGGCTTCCATGGGAAACACAGCCCTCTCAGGCAGTGCTGGGAAACACAGAAGGTGGTCTGCTCCAGAGTGCACAACAGAGGGACCGACAGCTTTGTTACTTGAGGTGACACTCGTCTGTCCCTGAGACGACACACTCGAGGCTGGCAGGCCTGGCCCTGGACTCAGGTATGCCTCTGCCAATCGCCACCAGTTCCAAGGGTTCAGAGGATGCAGGGAAATCAGTTTTTGCAAGCACAAAATTGTATTCTCCAAGTTCTGCAAACTTGAAAAGATAGCCAAGTGGAGGTAGAACACCGTGGTGAGATGGTCCATGTTGGTTGCTTTATTTTCCTAAGGAGAAGAAAGGGAACAAAGAACCTTAACTACAAAATGTTTTCAGATAAAAATGGAAGCACCTAAAAGCCCAAGTTGTGTATGTTATAAACCAGAAGTATTTTTAAGTGCTATATGGATCAAGTGAACTTAATACTTCCGAAGATTTTGTGTTTCAAACCATAACCTCAGGCCAATAAGAGGGTTCAGCAGATAGAGGCATTTGAGCCAAATCTTATGACATGAGTTTCATCCCTTGAACATATATGAGGGAAAAAGGAAACAGAGTCCTCCACATGAGAGTTATGGCTGGCTAGCACTTATGTGCAAAGTGTACATGAGCACACTCGTGCGCGCACACATGTGCGCGCGCGCGCGCGCGCACACACACACACACACACACACAAAATATGAAACCATATTCCTAGAAAATGATCCAATAAATGGTCTCCAGAAACTCCTATTGCTGTGAAGAGACACAATCACCATGGCAACTCATATTTTTGGTTGTAAGCCTAACCTTCAATGACTGACCCATCTCTCCAGTCCTTCATGGCAACTCGTATAAAGGAAAACATTTAGTTGGGGCTGGCTTAAAGTTGAGAGGTTCAGTCCATTATCATCACAGCGGAAAGCATGGCAGCATGCAGGCAGACATGGTGCTGGAGAAGGAGCGGAGAGTTCTACATCTTGATCCACAGGCAGAAGCAACTCTGGTCACACTGAGGGTGGCTTAAGCATAGGAAGCCTTAAAGCCCACTCCCACAGTGACACACTTCCTCCAACAAGGCCACACCCCTTAATAGTGTCACTCCCTTTGAGGGCTATTTTCTTTCAAACCATAACACCCCAGTGCCATAATGCAGCAAATCATATATAAGTGCCTGTCCAAGTTCAACACCAAAAATACAAATGCCGTGGATTGTTCAACTCTTACCATCATCCTGTATGGTTATCTGGGTACCATGCCGGTGAGGGTGAACTTGTGATACTGTGTAGGATAACAACTTTATGGCACTGAGAAGCACTCAGGGGGCATCGAAGGACAGTTCTAGAATATACTAGATAATGGGGAGGACCTCATAAGCTGGCTTCCTAGAAGGCGTGACAGGGAGAAAGAGAGAGCCTGCCAGTGCCTCTGTCCCACATCGCCTTAGCTACGAACAGAGGCTGCTGTCTCAGACACCTCCGTCATGACACACTGTCTCACTGTAGCCCAGAAACACAGAGCCCAGTGACCACCGAGTGTGGGCTCAGAAACCATGAGCTAAGGATGGCTCTCCTGAGTCATACCTGTCACAGCGGTGAGGTCATACCTGTCACAGTGATGAGGTCACACCTGTCACAGTGATGAGGTCACATCTGTCACAGTGATGAGGTCACATCTGTCACAGTGATGAGGTCACATCTGTCACAGTGATGAGGTCACATCTGTCACAGTGATGAGGTCACATCTGTCACAGCGGTGAGGTCACACCTGTCACAGCGGTGAGGTCACACCTGTCACAGCGGTGAGGTCATACCTGTCACAGTGATGAGGTCACATCTGTCACAGCGATGAGGTCACATCTGTCACAGTGATGAGGTCACATCTGTCACAGTGATGAGGTCACATCTGTCACAGTGATGAGGTCACATCTGTCACAGCGGTGAGGTCACACCTGTCACAGCGGTGAGGTCACACCTGTCACAGAGGTGAGGTCACATCTGTCACAGTGATGAGGTCACATCTGTCACAGTGATGAGGTCACATCTGTCACAGTGATGAGGTCACATCTGTCACAGTGATGAGGTCACATCTGTCACAGTGATGAGGTCACATCTGTCACAGTGATGAGGTCACATCTGTCACAGTGATGAGGTCACATCTGCCACAGTGATGAGGTCACATCTGTCACAGTGATGAGGTCACATCTGCCACAGTGATGAGGTCACATCTGTCACAGTGATGAGGTCACATCTGTCACAGCGGTGAGGTCACATCTGTCACAGCGGTGAGGTCACATCTGTCACAGCGGTGAGGTCACATCTACCATGCATGCATTTTCGCATTAGGAATTGGTTTCCTTTTAATAGTTCAGGGTTTTTAAACCCTGAGGCAATTCCCATCCGTATCTTTAGCATGGACATTTTACCCAGGACAACCCAGAAGCACTCAGCTTGGTACTGAGCCCAAATGCCTTCCCTGCTGTCCCTGCCACAGGAGGCTGCCCTGTTTCCTTCTGATCAAAAAACCTTTCTGTAGTCTCCTTGGGAGCCATCACCTCTCGCCTAACCTGTCGTACGGCAAATGCCCTGTGGGTTAGGGAGCAGGGTCCACTTTTCCCAGTTAGTGTGCAGAGAGCCAATAACAGAGTGAAATGACCTTCAAGCTGATATGAAATCTACGGGAAGCCAGCAGGTCACACTCCTGCACGGGAGTAAACGGAGTGTCAAACAGGACAAACTACTCAGAACCGGTACGGTTCTTGGAGCATTCCTACATTGAGAGGGCAGACATGAAATAGACCTACATAACTACCCGAGCTCTGAGCATGCCTTCCTTTAACTATTTCTACTGCTTACGGTTTTCCCTTCCTGAAAGACCGCTTAACGAGAGAGAGCCCTGGGTTCAATTCCAGATGATCGTATGCAGTCACAACACAATGTCACATCTCCCACCTAACTAACTGCAGGACAATGAATTCTCTAAAGTCAGGCTGTGCCTTTTCATCCTGGCTCAGTGTATAAAGTGCTTGCTGCAAGCCTGAAGACCTGAGTTCAATCCCTGGAAACCACATGGCGGAAGGCGAGACCAGCTCCTACCAACTGTCTTCTAACCCCAACATATGCCATGGCATAGGTATCCCCACCACCTCCCGCCATCATCTATAACGCACTCTGTCACTCCCCGCCATCATCTATAACGCACTCTGTCACTCCCCGCCATCTGTCTATAACGCACTCTGTCACTCCCCGCCATCTGTCTATAACGCACTCTGTCACTCCCCGCCATCATCTATAACGCACTCTGTCACTCCCCGCCATCTGTCTATAACGCACTCTGTCACTCCCCGCCATCTGTCTATAACGCACTCTGTCACTCCCCGCCATCATCTATAACGCACTCTGTCACTCCCCGCCATCATCTATAACGCACTCTGTCACTCCCCGCCATCATCTATAACGCACTCTGTCACTCCCCGCCATCATCTATAACGCACTCTGTCACTCCCCGCCATCATCTATAACGCACTCTGTCACTCCCCGCCATCATCTATAACGCACTCTGTCACTCCCCGCCATCATCTATAACGCACTCTGTCACTCCCCGCCATCATCTATAACGCACTCTGTCACTCCCCGCCATCATCTATAACGCACTCTGTCACTCCCCGCCATCATCTATAACGCACTCTGTCACTCCCCGCCATCATCTATAACGCACTCTGTCACTCCCGCCATCATCTATAACGCACTCTGTCACTCCCGCCATCATCTATAACGCACTCTGTCACTCCCGCCATCATCTATAACGCACTCTGTCACTCCCCGCCATCATCTATAACGCACTCTGTCACTCCCCGCCATCATCTATAACGCACTCTGTCACTCCCCGCCATCATCTATAACGCACTCTGTCACTCCCCGCCATCATCTATAACGCACTCTGTCACTCCCGCCATCTATAACGCACTCTGTCACTCCCCGCCATCATCTATAACGCACTCTGTCACTCCCCGCCATCATCTATAACGCACTCTGTTACTCCCGCCATCTATAACGCACTCTGTCACTCCCCGCCATCTATAACGCACTCTGTCACTCCCCGCCATCTATAACGCACTCTGTCACTCCCCGCCATCTATAACGCACTCTGTCACTCCCCGCCATCTATCTATAACGCACTCTGTCACTCCCGCCATCTATAACGCACTCTGTCACTCCCGCCATCATCTATAACGCACTCTGTCACTCCCCGCCATCCATCTATCAGTGTGAAGTAGGTGACACACACAGACTTTGATCCCTCCTCCACTCTTGCTTTTTTTAAAAACAGGGTATGCGTGTATAGGTGTAGCCTAGACTGACGGGCCTTGACCTTGAGAAGCTCCTTCCACAGCCTCCCGAGTGGTGGGACTACAGGCATGCACGGGTATGGTGGGCTCTACACTATGATTCTGACGTGATTCATGAACTAAAGTTTACTTTGGGATTATGGGGGCCAATTACATTCGCAATTGTGGTGGCATGAATGTAACTGGCCCCCACAACCCCAAAGGGAGGGGCACTACCAGGAGGCTTGGGCTTGTTGAAGTAGGCGTGGCCTTGGAGGAAGCGCGTCACTGCAGAGGCAGGCTCTGAGGACTCTTTTGTTCAAGCTTTGCTCACTGTGACACTCAGACCACTTCCCGCTGCCTGCAAAATGCAGGACTCTCAGCTCCTCGGTCTGCCTGCGTGCTGCCATGCTCCCCGCCATGATGATAACGCACTGAACCTCTGAACTGTAAGCCAGCCCCCCCTCAGCTAAATGCTGTCCTTCATAAGAGTTGCTGTGGTCATGGTGTCTCTTCACAGCAATAGAAACCCTAGGACAACTGGTACGCTAATTAATAAACAAGGGTTTGATGGCATAGTTGGTATCCCCCTCTTTGGACATTTAACGCCATTTAAATGTGTCTCAGGGGTTTTCCCAGTGCTGCTATAGTAACTGGGGTCTAGAGATGATTCAGTGGTAGGAGCACTTGCGGAGGACCCGGGTTTGGTTCCCAGCATCCACTCCAGGTAGCTCATGTACTCCAGCTCCAGAGGAAGCCAATGTCTCTAGGTCCCTGGCCACCTGCGCTCACCACATACCCACATGTGAACCCCAATACATATAGACACATAATACACATAATCAAAATTTAAGACAGATCTGAAAACAAAAATCACTCATACCACTCTGTGTATATATTCGTCATAAAAGCAAAACTTCTGGAAATGAGATTTCTAAGCAATAATCCTCATATTAGCACAGGAAAAATATTCCAAGAAAATAATCACACCCAGGGCTCCGAGCTTCATGGCAATAATTACACTGCTGACAGTTTTCTTCTGTGGTCCCAGCAGAAGTGCTTTTTTCAGGGAGTAAGCGGCTCTGAGGTCCCTGGCGTAGGAAGGCATGAGAACAAGCAAGGGAGTCACTCACCAACTTTGCCGCAATCTCCAGCGCTTCCCCATGTCTCCCCAAGTGAGCCAGACACCGAGCCTGGCCTTCCTGGACATCCCTCCTCATGGCAAAATTGGTGGATGGCAACTGTTCAGAGATACTGGAGTACTCCTGGAGTGCCTTCTGTCGGTTATTAAAGAGGGGAGACATGAAGAGGGTTGGGTACCGATCTAGTACAGAGATGACCTTTCCCTGTGCAGGAAGTAGCATTACAACCATCCCTTCCACTGACCTACGGGAGGCCTACGTGTTTCAACCAGTACTATCAATGTTTTCCTAAAAGGTAAAGAGAGAATGGCTGTAGCTAATAATGTCTACAACTATGGTGAGTAGCACAGTATTAGAGACCGAACATTCTAAAGCCAAGCAGAATAGGCTTTTAGTTCTGGGTTTACTGGGACGTGTGTGTGTGTGTGTGTGTGTGTGTGTGTGTGTGTGTGTGTGTGTGTGTGCCTGAGTGCGTACCTACGTGCGTATGTGTTTTGAGACATATATAGCTCCAGCTGGCCTGGAATTTGCGTGTAGATTAATTAATTGAACTCACAGGGATCCACCCGCCTCTACCTCTACCTCCCAAGTGTTGCGATTAAAGGCATATGCCACAAGGCCCAGCTATATACTTTATTAATATTTGCACAAAGATGAAATGGGGCATGTATGTGAAGCAATCTGGCATCTAATTGTTCCTTCTCCCCTTTCTTGCATATTCTGGGGTCTTCTGTCCCTGTGACATGTTGGAGAGGCAAATGTGAGTCAATATAGAGCCTGGGCAAGAAGACCTATAAACACTTCCAAAATATTCTTTGGTTGGAATTATGAAAAAAAAAAAAAAACAAAATGTAATACGGACCCTATAGAAAACACCAAGACTTAGGACTCAAAAATTAGCCACAGGCATCACCCAAGACTAACTCCGTCTCCAGTAAGCACACTCCTGCTCTTTACATGTGCTGTTTTGATAAAACAAGAGCCCATTTCAAGTGTCGTAGCCTGACCCATGCTGACTCCCACCTCGTATTCCTGTCGTCTGTAGGCCAGGTCCCCTCTGAATTTCTTGAGAGTGAGAACTTCCATATCATCACTACTTTCCGTCTCTCCATAAAACCACTAGAAATTGGGAAGAAAGCATTTATGATGAAGAGTGAATCGATACTTTTCTGCTTCACAATCGAAAGCAATTTCCCATAATACAACCATTTAACCGCTAAGGACACACTTCTTCAAGATGAGACTCGAGAGAAAACGGTGGACACAGAATGGCTATATTTTACTTGTTTGCTTTTTGAAACAAGGTCTCATTATAGGGACCCCCAAGTGCTGAGAAGATTACAGACATGACCACACCAGACCAAATGATACGTGGTTGTACGTACGGTGTGTGTGTGTGCGCGCGCGCGTGCGCGCGCCTGTGTGGCATGAGACCAGAAATCAATGCCAGTTGTCTCTATCAGTCTCCATCTTATTTTTTCAAGACAGGGTCTCTCACTCAACCTGGAGCTTTCCCTAATTGGCTAGACTGACCACCAGCAAGCCCTAGGATACAGTCTCTACCTTCCAGTGCCAGTTGCCATACCGTTTTTTTACCCAGGTGCTCAGGTCCCCATGCTTGGTATAAAACACTGCCCACTGAGCCACACCCCCAGCCGCCAATGACATCTTAATGACGGCCTGACTTTTTAAAGACATTTTAAATATATTATACGTGTGAGGTCACATCCATGCCACTGCTCCCATGTGGAAGCCAGAGCACACGTGGCTGGAGTCGGTTCTCTCCTTCTACCATGTGACAGCCAGGTCATCAGACTTGGCTGCAGTCTAGTTTACTTGCTGAGCCATCTCAGCTTGATGGCCCAGGTTTTTATTAAAATGATCACAAATACAGAGTCAGTGAGACAGACAGCTGTGGGAAAAGGCACTTGTCACCGAGTCTGACAACTGGGACCCATGTGATGGAAGGAAAGAACCAACACCTATAGTTTGTCCCCTCACCAACACACAGTGCCATGACACTCCCACCCACACACCTAGGCACACAAATAATGAATGTGGTTAAGAATAATTTTTAATGACCACAAGTATAAAAACGTCTATATCATATTTGTAAAAACAAAAAAAAATTACACATCTTCAACCACAACCTGTATAGCGCCAAGGACTCTTTAAAGTGGTGTCTGTTTTCTGTTAGCGCCATGGCGTGAAAAGGGGCTGCCGACCCTATGCACACAGGATGGCGACGGTGCTATTGTGGAAACGTCACACAAGCACACAGAGAGTCAAGCAGAGGCAATTACAACTGGAAGGAGACCCTTGCATCCCAGGCAGCTCCAAGGAATGCCTCTAGGAACACTTCCCTCTTCTGACTTATGCCCTGGGTACAAAGTGAGACTTAACTCTGTCAGCCCAAAGCAGCATCCCCTACTCCCTTTACAATAAGCCTGCTGAGGCTGGAGAAAGTGTCTCTAAATCCTGTTCACCCCAAAGTCCTCAACACATTCTAATTGCTTGGCTGAGTTTGCAAACACTTTATTGAGCATCAAGGCTCATCACAAGCATGCAAAACCAGTTTCTCTCCCTCTCCTGAGCCATCACAGTAGGGATGTTCTAAACCTTGCTCTATTCTTCTAATGGCGCCCCACTCAAGACATTTGAGCCAGGGTTAGCTTCTTCATTCTGCAGCCATCTAGTCACATACTATTTCTAATTAGCCATCCCCAACTTCTTAAGGATAATACATAAAGCTCCACCCAATTTTCATTATCCTATTAGGAAAAGATGAAACAAAATCGGCTTTAAATTATTTTATTCTTCCAGGCAGCCAGCTGGCCTGCAAGAATGCGCCGTGGACCACCTGGACGGGGCTGGGGGAAGGGAGGTGTCTGTGGCACTAGCCTGGGCCGGCCTGCAGGATGTGTGGGGTGGGGTGTGAGGATGTGGGGTGAGGGCGTAGGGTGGAGTGGAGGGTGAGGTGTGGGGTGCGGGGTGAGTGGGGTGGGCAGACAACCCAAGGCTGGAAGGGTGAGGCGGCGTGCTGGCAGGGCCCCGGCTCCCTCGGGCTGGGCAGGGGCTGGCCCTGGCCTCGGCGCAGGCGGGCTCCGGGGCGGAGCGGCAGGCCAGCCGTCTCACCTGCGGCTCGCACAGCTTGGCGCCGTAGGGCGCGGGCGGCTCGGGCCGCCGCTCCGGCCTCTGCTCGAACACCGAGTCCTCAAATTCGCCGCCGAGCACCCAGCACCCAGCCTCCATCGCGCGCGCGCCGCCGGCCCCACAAACCAGGCGACGCCCGCAGCCAGGCACCCGGAAGCGGCGGGCTGCCGACCGGAGCGTGGCATTCTGGGAGTGGTAGTCTTTTAGCGACCGCGCCTAGACGGGCTGCTGCCCAAATTAGGGATCGTGGTGGAGCAGAAATTAGTAGCTGACTCTCGGGTTTCTTGAACCCCAAAAGGTTTGACTTCTGTCAGGAGCTGGACAGAGTACTTTCCCTGCGTACCTCGAAAAGTCGGGTCCCTGAGGAGGCAGCCGGTTAACTTCTTAAGTTCCAATTTTAGGCCCAGCACTCTGAAGGCAGAGGCAGGTGGATCTCTGTGAGTTCGAGGCCGGTCTGATCTACAAAGTGAGTTCCAGGATAGGCTCCAAAGCTACAGAGAAACACTGTCTCGAATAACCAAGTGGGGGGAAAGTTTCCAGTTTTAAACACTGGCACTATTCTCATGTATTATCCTGCCCGTTTTAGTTTACATTTTCTGTCTTCTCCCAGTAACACCTGCAAAAAAGGCCGAAAGTAACTCCTGTTTTGTAGATGAAAATATTGGGCTTGAAGAGGTCAGGTAAACTAGTTGAAAAAGCCCTTTGTCTCTACAGACCAGAACTACTCACGCATTTAGAAAAAAAAAAAAATAGACATCAAAATTTAAAAGGCTCTATCAGACTAGCAGGATTTTGAGACTTTCAAGAAATGTCTTGGAAGGATGACCCCAACTAACAATCTAAGCAACAGTGGAGAGACTACCTTAAATGCCTTTCCCTGATAATGAGATTTATGACTACCTTATATGCCATCCTAGAGCCCTCATCGTAGCTGATGGAAGCAGAAGCAGACACCCACAGCTAAACACTGGAACTCCTGGAATCCAGTTGCAGAGAGGGAGGAGTGATGAGCAAAGGGTTCAAGACCAGGCTGGAGAAACCCACAGAAACTGCTGACCTGAACAAGGGGGAGCGCATGCACCCCAGTCTGATAGCTGGGAAGCCAGCATAGGACTGACCCAGACTCCCTGAATGTGAGAGTCAGTTAGGAGGACTGAGCAGTCTATGGGGCCTCTGGTAGTGGATCAGTATTTATCCCTAGTATACAAGTGGACTGTGGGAGCCCATTCCACACAGAGGGATACTCCCTCAGCCTAGACACATGGGGGATGGCCTGGGCCCTGCTCCAAATGATGACAGACTTTGAAGATCCCCATGGAAGGCCTCACCCTCCCTAGGGAGCAGGAAGGGAATAGAATTTGGGAGGGACAGGGGAGAAGAGGAGGGTGAGGGAACTGGAACTGACATGTAAAGCAAGCTTGTTTCAAATTTAAATAAAAAATATTATCATAAAAAAGTCTTGACTCTAGAGAGTAAAGGGCCAAAACACTGATGCGGAGCTAGTAAGAGAGCCTTGTTTCCCTCACACTTGATCTTTTCCCACCATTATTTCAGGGTTCTTTCTATTTCCTACTCTGCAGACTTAGGGGCAGCCTAAGTCACCACCCCCAGCTCCAAAATCCTTCCGCTCAAAACTCACAAAATGTGGAGCCTAGCTGTGTGTTCTGCAGCCTCACTGGCAAACTCCGCTTCCAGGGGCAGCCTCCAGGCGGTACCTACCTACCGATGGATTCATCCAGGGGAAGGGCCATTTTCAATAGCTAGGTGGGAGGTTGTTTTGTTTTCCCATCAGAAATGCAATACTTCATATTAAGAAAAAATTGGATATTATAGAAAATATATAAGAAAAACTCCACAATACCATAACCAAGAAAAAAAATGAAAACGAGGTGCCAAGAAGGGAGAGATATTTGCCCTTACAGCACAGTGCCGAAGGACTGCAGGAGTCACTTGTGTGGCTTCCTGATCCTTGCTTCACTAGCTGCTCAAGCCAGTGTGTGAAATGGCGAATAAAGCCTGTCAGATGGTCATCGGGTGCCATGAGCTCAGGAGCGAAGGCAGGCAAGGGCGTTTCCAGCCCCTTCTCTATGAAAGCTGTCTGCTCTCACAATTTCTTCCCTCTTGCTCTGAAGCCATCGAGCTCTAGCCTCCTGCCCGGTGACTAACTGAGCTAGGGCTTCTACTGAGAGGGCAGCGAGTTGCTTTAGGGCTGCATGTGGGTGGTAGTTCTCTGCTCTTTCAAGATTCAAGATTCCTGAGTTCAGCAGTTTCCAACTTTTTGCCACTAAACCTCCTTGGTTATTTTACTCCCGCAACCGTGCAGATTCATGTACAAAGTAAAGCTATGTTTATTGACTAATAATTGCTTCCTTTTCCTTTGAAAGACAAGCCAAATTCCATATAACAGCCAATGTGAGTTTCCACCCAGCTGGAGTCTACCAACATTGTCGCGGTGTGTGACCAAATTCCAGTAGTTGTTAGGACCCTGGGTAGACTGACAGCATATGTTAGGATTAGGACTTTACCAATAATACAGTTTGGATCTCCTATTGAAGTTTGTTGGGATATTTAATTATACTGTGTAAAGATGTCACTGTGATTGGTTTAATAAAAAAGCTAACTGGCCAATACGTAGGCAGGAGGTGTAGGCGGGACTCTGGGAAGAAAGAGGAGTTGCCAGCCAGACACAGAGGAAGCAGGACATGGAGGAGGAGGTACAAGCCACCAGCCACATGACAGCACACAGAGCAATAGAAATGAGTTAATTTAAGTGTTAAGAGCTAGTTAGAAGCAAGTCTAAGCTAAGACCAAGCTTTCATAATGAATAATAAGTCTGTGTCATTATTTGGTGGGACAGAGAATGACTAGCTACAGCAGTTGAGGAGCCAGGGTCTGGGAACCTGAGCTGCAAAACACTGCCTCACCTGATAAGCCCACAATAATATCAATAAAACAAGAGGGCATTATACACAGTAACCATTAAATCTAGGTATTAAATTGTTTTCATTGATACTTCATATCTCTAATTTTGCTGCTGTTATGAATCATAATGTAAATACGACTGTCAAAGGGGCCACAACCCACATGTTCTGTATTAAAGAAGAAACACGATTTCTACAACTATCAAACCGAGTGGTTGTGATTTTAAAAAACTTCTTTCTATAGCTTGATAGCCATAAAATAATGGTATTTTCGATTGAGGTACCTGTTTGAGTTGCCTACCTCAAGGCAGCTGCCACCTTTTCCGGCAGCACTGTTATTTCTCACTGAGGCGTTCCATGAACTGGACTGTGGGAAGGTTAGGTGCTATCTGTTTCACTCTTGAAACCCTAGCTCCCAGACAGGCCTTGGGCAGAGCAGCTTAACCAATGCCTGCTAGATGGATGGGTTGCTGTAAAGGAGGGGCAGAGAGGAAGAAGAAAAGTACTTCTGAGCTGTGGCTCACGCGCTGGTGCCCTGCCTGTGATCTGGAGAGGGTAGTGCTGATTTTTCCTGTGAATTGTTTCCCAGTCCAGACCATGACCCTACCCTGCCTGCACCCCATGACCTTAAATGAGCCCTGCTCTCCAGCCAGCTGCTTTCAGCAGGCCTACCATAGGCAGAACTCAGTCTTTCCCTCCTCTGACAACCCTCCCTGTCCTTACCAGGTACCAACTCACCATTCCCATTACCAAGAAGCCACCCCAACTCCAGTGCCCTTTATTATCTGACTGATTCCCAGAATCCTTTCCTATCTCCTCTTCCCTCCCCTCAGCTTGGCTCCCATTGCCCTGTCTAGGTTCACACACCACCATGTCCAGGACACTTTGCATTCCAAAGGCTGGGGTGGAGGCTTTTTGTTTTGTTTTTTTGTCTAATGCTTACGTGTCAGTCACCCACAGATGACCATGAGCTCATTTGGGTCACTGACCTCCGTGTGAGCAGTCTCTGGCACTCAGTCAGCCCTAACTCCTGTTGAGTGGGTTAATCTAAACTACCCTACCACTGAGTACTCATGTAGGAATTCTCTGCACCATTCTGTGTGTCTGGGAGCCTATGTGTGCTCAGGTAAAGCACACTAAAGTGGGGATGACAGATGATACACAGGGACAAGCAGGTTGTTTCTTTACATATTTTGATACTGTGCTGGGTAGGGTCAAGGTTTGAATGAGAAATGTACCCCATAGCTCAGAATTTGAATGAGTCATCGCCAGCGTGTGTGGAAGGCTACCTGTAGGAAGTGGGCCTGATGGGAGGAAGTAGGTCAGTGACCCTGAAGGTTGTACCTGCCTTAGGTTCTTGGCCAAGGCTGCTAGTCTGTGAAGATGTGAAAAGTTGCACCGTACACTCCAGTCACGACTCAGACACGTCTGCTATGATGCTGCCCTTGCCATAACAACCTGAAATCCCTGAGCCATGAGCCCAAACAACCCTCTCCTCCCTTGCCTCTGTCACAGTGAACAGAAAGTAACTAAAAGCTGGGGCAGACCCTTACTGGGTTCCCCAATATAAAAGGGCCTTCCATGATGACGCTACCTCTTTGCTTTTCTGACCCAAGCAGTTTTTGTTGAGCTATGCTTTTTGGTTCTCTGGGGATGTATAGATATTTATTTCCACTTTTCCATCTTTTCTTTTTAAACATTTATCTATTTATCTGGGTGGGGGCAAATGTCACAGTGTACATGTGGCAGTCAGAAGACAACTTATGTGAGTAGGTTCTTTCTTCTGCCATGGGGCTCCAGGAGTCAAATTCAGTTCATCAGGCTTGGGGGGGGGGGGCAGGGCCATAATCCAATCAGCCATCTTGCTGGCCTTTCTGTTTGTTTCTTTTGCCAAAAACTGCTCCTTCTATTTCTGGCATGAATGCTACCCCACTAATCCGCATGAATAATTTACCAACATACATTTCTCATATTGGGCAGATATATATATATATATATATATACACACACACACATATATATATACACACACACACATATACACACACACACACACACACACACACACACATATATATATAAGTACACTCATTGATTCCACTAAAATCTGTGTTTATCTGCTGTAAGAAAAGTACTGTTTTCAGAATGGAGCATACAGAGATAAGTAGGACAGATGAGAGCCTTACATTGAGGGCTGGACAGA